CTATCTAAAATTTAGATTAAATTACCAACCAAAATTAAAAAATACTAATTATCTTCTAATAACAATTACCATGCACAATCAAATACCAACCAAATAAAATCACACAATTGGAGATTAAATTAAAAATGCAAAGTACATATTTTTTGTGATTTTCATTCTTATAAATTCAAATATTGTTTAATTAATTCCTACTTGTAAAGTTAAATCCTAAATGCACATATATTTATTTATTTATTGTATTTTTTTTCTTAATTAAAGTAAAAATAATCATGCACACACAAATACAAATAAATCACAAACAACACAAAACTATCTTATTTTGAATTTTCTGGGAGTAGTTCTCGTAGGGCAAAAATCACGTGCTCACAATAACTACATTATAGACAGAAATAAAGAAAAAAAATCAATGTAAATATTAATACTATATTTTGTGAAATAACTACAATATGGACAAAAATAAAGGCCCCTTTGTAAAATTTGACTTTAGGCCACGAATTTTATTGAAACGTCCTTGGCTAGGATGAAAATTAAGGAAAACACTTGCAAAAAAGCAAATATAATGGCTGATTTCTTGAAGTGGCTAAAGGCGAAGAAAATAAAAGTTGACTGGAATATATTCAATCGTTACAGGAACAAAAGAACAAGGATATGCTTTAAACTAGCGCATGCAATCTGATCAATACAAACTAAAAATGTAATGTCTTCTTGCTAGTCAAATTGAGTGAAATATAAAAGAAATAGTTAGCTGGTGGGAATAGTTATTACATGTTCAATTCGAGATGAAGAGATTACCTACTCAAACCGTCACTAATGACAACTAGCAAAATTGACAAAGCAAAATTTTTGAAGGTAATCAAGTTTTTCAGCTGCTGACCAAAGGTTAGAAAATTTTTGGAAAGGGTTTCTAATCTCTTTCAAGAATCAAGTGTCTAGAGGAGAAACATTAATACCATAGAAGGAGGTTAGAAAAAGAATACCAACAAATAAAATAAAATAAAAGAGAGATTTATTTTGTTAAAACTGAGTAGGGGATCCGCAAGTCCTATGGAGGGAAATTGGAAGATTTGGGTGAAAGACCAAAATGCCCTTGAAAGTCCACAAGTCGATAATTACACGTAGAATTCATTAATTATATATTTGAAAAGTCAAATCTGTCGAAACGAAAATGAGAAATATTTGCCAAAAAACAAAAAAAGACACAAGATAAAATATACTACAAATTGTGAGGCCATCTCCAACCCTACACTCGTTATTGAATGGGCATCTAGATTTTATAAATTTTGTTAGATTCCGAGTGGATACGAGGTTGACTTTTGACTTTGCTTAAAGAACTTTGCTTTGTCATATGAAATTGATTTTTATAGCTTGTATTGATTGTATTAAGTTGTTTGTGGTCAGATTCAAGTTGTTCGAAGGTCAATTCCTCCACATATAATTTATATTCCTTTCTTATATAACCATTTAACATAAAATTATTTGTACGATAAATTTTTAAATAATATAATTTTGTAAGAAAATATTATATATTATATATATTGACGGATAATAAATGCACGAATTAGTTTTGTCAAAATTATCCGAAAAAGTTAAGATGTAAACTTAATATTATAAAGATATTACATAAACATAATTAGGTACATATAAAGAGATCAATTAAAAAAATTAAATAATAAAAGTAATAATAAAGTAATAGGGAATAGTAATGGGGAGATGAATAGTGTCAATCAAAATTTTAGAGTGGCACTACTCATCCCCCGTTTTGCAACCAAAAATGCAGCAGCATTGGAGTCAAATTTCTCCAAAAATCGACTGCATTATGGTAAATGAAGGCAACGTTGGAGATGGCTTGAAAGGTTTCTGATAACGTAATGAGAATATGAAAAAGTTAATTCTAAAAAATATAAAGATAATCTAATACATACATCAAAAGATAATATTCCATGAAAAACTTTAGAGTTTACAGTTGGTCCAACAACCAATATAAAATCAAATAGTGTATTTACAACACTTCCTTGTATTTTTCTTGAGAGAAAATTGATATGTACTTTGAATTGCTTGAATCAAAACAAATATTTGAGCTTGAGGTACTAAATCTACAAATGTTTCTAAAGGAAAAGAGAGAATTTGTTGATGCAGGGAAAGAGTGTTTAAATTTTTATCAGAATATTTGATGTTTAAACTTTATCAGGATGTTCAAAACATTCTGTCAAATGTGTGAAACATCCTTTAAGATGTTGCAAACTTCTTGAGAGATGTTTGAGACATCTTGTCCAAAGATAGAACATCAAAAATCCAGTGGGCTAGCGCGGAACATAGAGATCCGGACGTGAAAAGGGGAGAGGATTAATGTGAATTTCATCACATGATTGTCTTGTTTATATCGTAAGTTTGATTCCATTTGGGTGATCATTAATTCATAGCTAAATTTTGTTTGTCATTCGATGTTTCATTCTTTTTTCTTGATGTGAATTGAATAATTGTTATCCTTCTTTCTTTTCGTATTTTTAACATTTTAACGTGGTGTATTTTCGAGTACAAATGAACAATACTAGAGTAATGCATCAAATATATTAAGCGAGGCAACGATTCAAGAGTTTTTATGTGTATTCAATATGTTGAGACTCGATAATATCAATAGCATAACTTTTTTGGACAATTTTTCTGAAAAATGAATAGGTAGGAAAACAAGAAAGAAAAATAACAAATTAAAACGAAAAGACGAGGAAAATGTATAGTATCACCTACAAAGATTATTAAGAAAAAAGATCAACTATCTGTGGAAACCCAATAATACCACAATGATGAAAATAGAGAAAAATAATTTTAATAATTCCTAACTGATTATGTACCAAAAAGAACGTAAAGCAGATATTATCTTCTACGTTCATTCACAATTTAAATAGAAAAAAAGGATACTACATAAAAAATTTCTATTTTATTCAATTAAATTTCTTGTGTTATTTTTATATCTCCCATAAAATATTAAAATATTTATAATAAACTACAAAACTAAATCTTGAAAAGTAAGGTTATCAAATCTAATGTGTATAATTTAGATTAAATCCATTTTTGATTTGTGGATGGGTGGGTTATAAGATATAGGTCTTCTTTGTTTTATTGGTGAGTTTCATGTGTATACGACTTTAAAAAATAATTTATTTTGCTGCGTCATATTATTTTAAGACAAATTTGGTTGAGTTATTTTATTAGAGAAAAGCTCTAAGTTGAGTGATTTTGATAGTAGAACCTCTCTAAATTAATACTCGGTAGGGAAGAAATTATGAATTCAATAGGGGAGCGCCCCACAAATAGCTAAACGCCTATGTGTTAGTAATATCGTTTGGTTACATGTGAGATAAATTAGGATATCCCATGGGATTAGCTATCCCGATTTCTACATCCCACCATTAGCTACTACCCATAATCAATCTTGGGAAAAATACAAACCCTATTACGATTTGCTATCCTCCCTATAGCTATGTACCATCTTAAACATCTATTTTGTTACGCTTTAACTTATCAATTTTATATATTCAAGCTCAACTGTTGATTTAGCATATTTTCTATTCAAACTCAGAATTAGTTGTTTGTTAGGTCCTAATTGCACAAGATTTACATATTTAATCGAATTCAAATAGAATTTTCTTTTCAATTTTTGTGGTTGAAAAGAATTAGCTACCAAATAGACTTGATTTAGGAAAATCTTAGATTTGCTTGAAGTATTTGTATTATGTGCAAGTATAAAACATGTAATTTTTAAGTATTATGAATCTGTAGAGAAGTCTGACAATTTGTACTATGCATCTGTAGAGAAGTCTGATAATTTGTACTATGCAACTGTAGAGAAGTTTGGGTAAATATGTGTTCAAATATGTCCCACATTTTTGTACTATCCAACTTTTGAAAAGTCCAAAATTTCCTTTATTCACTAAATTACAGATAGAAAGGAAAAAGAAAGAACGAAAAAAAGAACTGGAGAGCCACTGCGAGAGTGCGTGAGCAGATGCAAACAACAACTTTTAGGATTGAGCTAAATGACAATTTTGCCCTCGGTCGACCTTCATGGCTTTTCTATATAATAGAATAGAAATTTATGTAATGAAGCATTAGCATTTGTAATTACAAAATTTAAGTGCATTCTAATAGCCAAAATTGAGGTGTTTGGCTAAGCTTTTGGAAGGAAAAAAGTATTTTTGAGGAGAAGCAGAAGCAGTTTTGGAGAAGTAGAAAAAAATAGCTTCTCTCCAAAAACACTTTTTTGAGAAACACTTTTGAGAAAAATACACTTAGAAACAGTTTTTTAAAGTTTGGCCAAATACTAATTGCTGCTCAGAAGTGTTTTTCCAACTAATTAGCCAAACACAAACTGCTTCTCACCAAAAGTACTTTTGAGAAAAACACTTTTGAAAAAAAGTACTTCTCAAAATAAGCTGATTTTTGAAGCTTGGTCAAACGGGCTATAAGTCTTGAAAGTGACGCTAGGAGTCCTCGCCTTTCACTAGACATTCTTTACTGTATTACATATTAAACTTCTAGTATTAAATACTAACTCCATGGATAAAACAAAATTATTCACTTACTGAATCTTAATAACCACATGAATTGAATGTTCGACTTTTTTTATCCAGACCTTTCGCTATTCACAATCAGTACTACAACATTATTTGTACATTTTTTTTTTTTTTGGTAACTAAATTTTTGTATTAATCACCTTTGAAATTGTACAAAATCATAGCTAAACAAAATACAATTAGATATCTAAAGTCTACCTATCAGTAGTAACTCTCTGATCTATACACGCCAGTACATAACTGGATTCTAAAAAAAAAACTCTGTAGCAAAACCTTAGCTATTGGTGTTGCTCTTACATGACAAATATAAGTTACTTTTTGCACAATTGTTTCTCAGCTCCGGTACTTCTTTTCAAAAATTCTTTGGTTTCTTTCCATCTATATAGCATAGATACACCCAGCATACACTATTCTGAAAATTTAAGCTTGCTACGATTTCCCTTTGGCTTTATAAATAGCCCACTCTGTGTGCTGGTCCCAAGTCTGCACTGGTATCCCTTTTATTTGTAGCCATTGCTGCATTTTTCTCCACATAGCTTTAGTGAATTCACACTCAGCAAAAAGACGATTTCTTGTTTCCAGTTTATTCTGGCATAATGTGCATGTAGGATCCACTGCTAATCCCCAATTCACTAGTTGATTTGTTGTAGCTAGTCTCCCTTGTAGTTGTAGCCATATTGTAAAAATTACTTTAGGTCTGGCATCATTTTTAAACATAAGATACTTCCAAGGCTCTGCCATCATTGTAGGGAGGGGCTGTTTATAGATTGAGTTGATCATGCTCCGAGTAGTTGTGACATGAGGTATCAAGTCCAAGTGCTCCTTGGCTTCGAGTATTTTCCTAGTGATCCAGCTTGCTTGTGAAGGTATTGTCATTTCCTTCAAAAGGTTGCCTTTGACATAGTAAGCATGAATCCATCGAATCCACATTTTATCCTGTTTGTGAGCTATATCCCAGCATGTCTTGATTTGAGCAGCTTGGTTCCACAGTTTTATGTTGATAAGATTTAGCCCTCCTACTGACTTAGGAGTGCATACTCTATCCCATGCCACTAAAGCTTTCCTAGTTATTGTGTTACTTCCTGACCATACATAGCTTCTACAATAAACATCTATAGTTTTCAGGACCTTTGCAAGTATTAGAAATAATTGAGCCCAGTAGGCCTGAATTCCAAAGAGCACATATTTGACCAGCTGAATTCTGCCTGCATAGGATAACTTTTTGGCAGTCCAAGAAATTATTCTAGCTGTGATCTTTTCTAGTGGTTGCTATTGTAGTAGTGTGAGCTTCTTTGTTGATAAAGGCACCCCCAGGTATTTGAGAGATAAGGTTCCATGCACAAAACCTAAGTGACTCAATATGTTGTCTTGAATCTCTTTCTTAACTCCACCAAAATACACACAACTCTTACCAAGATTAGCCTGCAATCCTGAAGCTTCAGAAAACTGGCTGAAACACTTGTGTAGAGCAATAATAGATGTTAAGTTCCCTTTGGCAAAGAGAAGCAGATCATCCGCAAAAATGAGGTGTGTAATTCCTAGTTTTGCACACTTTGGATGAAATTGAAAGGATCTATCTTCTTTCAACTCATTGAGCTTTCTGTTTAGATACTCTATAGTAATTGCAAACAAAAAAGGAGACATTGGGTCTCCTTGTCGAAGACTTTTTGTTGAATTGAAAGGTTCACTTGGCTCACCATTGATCATCACAGTGTAGTTTACTCTTTGGACACACTCCATTACCAAGTAATAAATTGTTCTGGGAATCTAAGCTCTGCAAGCAACTTCTTCATAAATGGCCATTCTACATAATCATATGCTTTTTGCAAGTCAATTTTTATCATGCATCTTGATGATATATTCTTCCTCGTATAGGATTTAACAAGCTCATGAATAAGAATGATATTATCAACTATTTTCCTACCTGGGAAAAACCCTGCCTGGGCCTCACAAATGATGTCTAGAACCACACCTTGCAATCTAGAGGCTAATATTTTAGCAATCATTTTGTATAGGACAATATAACATGCAATGGGTCTATACTCTTTCACTGAGTTTGGATTGTTAGTCTTTAGGATCCAAGTAATGGCTATATAGTTTACTGCCTTATACAATTTTTCAGTTTTGAAGAAATCTTTTATAGCTTCTACAACTTCTGATTTCACTATTGAACATAATTTCTGAAGAAGTATGCATTGTATCTGTGAGCACGTGATTTTTTCCCTATAAGAATTACCCCCATAAAATATAAGAAAATAATTTTTCCAATTTTATAGGATTTTTCGTAGAATTTTGTTAATTAGTTGCATCTTTGCGCATATTTAATTTCCATTAAAAAACAAAAATACCAAAAATACCACGCATTTGCATTTAGTATTTATTTTTACATTTTTAGGTTAATTAGTAAATTAGTTGTTTTATAAAAATGAAAAATCACAAAAAATAGCTCATTTTTGCATTTTTAGCCTTTTAATATTAAATTAGTAATTTCTTATTTTAATTTAGGAGTAATTAACTTTCATAAATATCTTAGTAGATAATTAACTTAATTTTACATCTTAGTTTAATTTAAGAGTCTAATTTAGTTTTTTTTAATTAATTAAAAAGGGAAAAGAAAAACAAATGAAAAATAGAGGAAAGGAGAATTAGGGCTGTTGATTTTAGCCCAAATACTAAGGCCCAAGTTTTTCATTAATCCGCCCCAGCCACTCGCCCGCCCGTCTGCCCCAAACCCGACCCGTTCCCAAACGCTAATAAACAAAAGATACACAGAACCCTAATCTCCAAGACCCAAATCGGCACAAACACTGTTCTTATTCTCCAAACAACCAAATCCGTTCCCAAAAATCACCAAAATTCAGGCAAGTGAAATCCAAACTCGCATCATGCGTCTCTCCCTTCTCTCCTCCTGCCACAAGTGTAACGGTTTCTGACACCAAAGATTCTCCTCCCCCTCACTCGCCCGAATTCGAGATATAGCACGCGATTGGAAGGTTCTGAGAACGATCGTTGGATGAGTGTGAGGAGTTGGATTGATTTCACTCAATCCGAGCCCACATTCATCAGAGGCTAGTTTTTAAAAGGGACCTGATCCGATTTTGAGAGACAGAGGATTTTAGGGCAAAAATTTGGAGAGAAAAGGTTTAAGGATTTTCTTTAGTTTCTCATTTGGCTCTTCTCGGAAAATTTCTTTTAAAGTTTCTCTTAAAGGCTCAAAGAAGGAGATACATTTTTTGTAAATTTCTCAATTTGGCTTTGAGTTCCAAAGTGATGAAAAATGAATTGAGGTCATTCGACTGGTGGTGAGGATTAAGTTAGTCGACTTCGATTTTCTACTGTTGTCCTGTTGATTTGCTGCTAAAACTCGTTAGGATTTTGGGATCGAAAGGTGTATTTGCTGATTCTGTAATTATTTATAAAGGAAATTTGCGATTTCAGGTTTGATTCTTTTTTTATCCCATGTGACTCTGTTTTTAGGTGTTCTTGAGCTATGATATTTTGTCCAGAATGGTGTTTTGTTCTGTGATCGAATTTCTTGTTGATGAATCTCATCTCAATGGTGTGATGTGCTTGAGTATGTTCAGTCAGTAAGAGTCGATTTTGAGTAGTCGTCCTCTATGCTTTATACGTTTTAACTGTTATGTTGGTGTCGAAGTTATCATTATCGATTCAAGATGTCATCGTAAATGAATGATGAGTTCAGCTTTGAAAATCGCAAGCGAGCATGAAACTATGATGTTACTTCTCATTATGTGTGTTTTCCGGACTCTAAATGACCTGCTCCTGTGAAATCTCTTTGTTTATCAGAATTTTCTTTTAAATTAGAATTCAAAGACCTCCTGGTTATGTTGTTAAGGAATAGCCACTTCACAAAAATGAACTTTTCTTGTGTTTCTCCTGTTGTGTGTAACATGTTTTGATATTCATGGTGATTTGCTCGAGCCCACTGTTTGGTCTCGATGGTTCGATATGAACTACCAAAGAATCTTCTCTTTCCCTTGATTTCATGATAATTTTTGGTCTGTTCTTGCTGGACTGGATCTGCTGAAGCTATCCTCGATAGTATGTGCTCTCTATGGCTTACCATGTTGAGATGACCAGTGAGTTTCATGTTTCCAGCAGTCATTTCTGCCTATTGAACTTCTTGAAACAGAATTTAACATGAAACTTGTGTAGTAGTGTGCTTTGTTTTCTTTGAAATCAGTTTGTATTTGCTAGCTCTTCTTGAATCTGTTGTCCTGTTGAAGCGTAAAGGATGAGATTCCATTCCCTGTTTAAATGGTTAAATGCTTTGTTCTAATCGGTGGGTTAAGGCATGTTATTTTATTTTGTTTCTTTATAGAAGTTGACAGTGTCTAGCCCGAGCTAGCGACTGAGTTGTAAGTTTGAAATCAAGGAAAGCTTTTTCAAACTGCCATCTTGATTGAATGCATAAGTGCACATTGTTTAATCCTTATTTATGAATCTGTGTCGACCTGTGAAAGAGAAAGATAAGTTGGTTTAACAAAGAAATGAGTTCAGAGATGGGTTGCTGGATAAGAATCCTAATTGTGCTTGGATTAACTTTGTTTGTTTGATAGTTATTATGTGGAATAATAACAAGATGAATGTGATGAAGCTTGATGACATAGGCCTAAACGATTTTAAGTGTTTTGTTTATTCTGAGATGTGAAAATTACCTATTAAACAAAAATTTTAAGTTGTTGCATGACCTCCCAGATTTGCTGCTACAGATCTGCTTCTCCTCTTCTCTAGTTGTATTCTTCATTAAGTTGTATCTTCCATTTAGTTATTACTAAGGCACACGCACCAGGAGCTTGAATTACAATGATGGAATAAAACAATTGGATTGTTTTCGATCCTAGTTACTGTCCAGTTTTGCCTTTTCCTCCTAGCTTGAAGTCTTTGTTTTGGGTATTGACACATGATTTGCATCTTGAGTAATATCTCAGCTTCTTGTGAATTCCTCATTTCTGATTTCTTTTGAATAAGTGACAATTACTTTGGTCTTAGTTGTGTCTTTAATTCCACCCACCTCAGCGTGAACCCTGTAGCGGCTACACTTTTAAGTTGTTGAATACTGTCTGCAATGATGAACTATTCTGATTTGTGGAATATGTCCTTTAGGAGTGGGACTCGGTCAACGCATGGAATAATAAGTTGAAAAGGGATTGAACATGCATTATCTTCCTTTTAGTAGTGTTTATTTTACTTCTATTGCGTTGTTCGCTAGGACCACGCTTAGGTCGTCAATAATTGTGAATCTCGTAGTTTGCTTTAGGCCCGTAATTAAAACATCACGACTACAGGTATGGCTCCCGTGACGTAGTTGCGATGATTGATTTCGTATTAGCTCCAAATATGAAAATCCTAGTTCATTTAGTTAAATAGTTTTGAGGCGTACCATTCGTACATTTGAATCATATAATCTATGACCCTCATATTTTTTAACTTAGTTACTAAAATAAATCTCGTAGTTTGCTTTAGGCGCGCAATTAAGTTATTATAACTACAGGTACGATTCCCGTGACGTGGTTGTGATACTTAGTTTCTTTTAAAATTAGGTATCAGTAGGAGTATTTAAGGTGTGCCTTAGCTAAATACAAATTCTTGTTTCCTAAAATAAATTGAGGTGCGCCATACGCAAATAAAATCCATAATGTATGGCCCTCGCATAAATACAAAAAATAGTATAAAAAATGACTTGAATTTCATAGTTTGTTTTAGGCGCATTAATTCATTAATTGTCATAGCTACGGGTACGGTGCCTATGACGTGGTTGTGACATTTAATTTCTAAAAATTCTGGGGTAAATCTATATGGCCCGACCACATTTAATCTGGTTAATAAAATAAACATGTTATAGATCGTGGGTACGGTTCTCGTGACATGATCCACAATCTGTAACACTAATTTATTAAAAGCAGTCTAAAAAGAGTAAAAATGCACATAGGTTTCAAAGAAGTTTTAAAATTTAATAAATAGACCAATAATAATAGTTGAGCGACCGTGCTAAAATCACGGAACCCGGGAATGCCTAACACATTCTTCCGGATTAACAAAATTCTTTACCCGGGTTTTTATGTTCGCGGACTGTAAAACAGAGTCAATCTTTCCTCGATTCGGGATTTGAACCGCTGACTTGGGACACCATAAATTATCCCAAGTGGCGACTCTAAATTTTAAATAAATAATCTTGTTCCGATTGTCACTTAAATTGGAAAAAACTCTCTTATACTCTTTCCGGGGGTAGGAAAAAGGCGGTGTGACAGCTCAGGCGACTCTGCTGGGGACCGAACCCAGAATCTCTGGTTCAGGGTTCAAGAATTCGAGCTTAGAATAATTGTTATATTTGGCTTTATTTATTGTCTGATTTTATCTGCATGTTTGGGCCTAATGTGGTAAATGTTACTTTTTACCCCTTTGATATTATCTTATTTGTATATATAAACTGCTATGAAACCCCTCTCTTCTATCTTCTGAGGAGTGCACGCTAGCGTGACTTCTTTCTGTTAGTGTCATATCCTAATTTAGAATGAGGTTCGGACAAGTTGCAAAGCCAGATGATCTTTTGGTTACTAGTACGCTGCCCCCCCTCGGCTCGAGTTGTCCGCTCGAGTAAGTTAGGTCTAGAATAATACACCCAGGTTTTAAACTTAGAATAACTTAGCTTCATGCCGGATCCCTAGTAAGAACGCTTGTTGTCATTATGTGCATTTGACTTTGAGGACTCAACATAC